GGTGAAGAGGCAGGTGTCACACCTTCTGCAGTTACATGGGAAGGTGCTGTGAAATGGGGGATAGTGTTAATGATCGAGGAATGGACTAAGGTGTCCCGGAGGGAACGATCCCTGTGAATTGCAAACAGGGGAGTGAGGGGAACATGTGTTTGGTGGTGACGTTCTGCTGGAGTTGTCTGAAATGGCGGAGAATGATCCTTTGAATGCAGAGGCTGGTAGGGTGAAAAGTGAGGACGAGGAGGACCTGATTGTGCTATTGTGAGAGATGGGAAAGGGCAAGGTGGAAGCACGGGTGATAGGTCGGATGCGGTTGAGGGCCTTGTCGACCACCATGGGTGGGAAACCCCGGCTGTGAAAGAAGCAAGCCATGTCAGCAGCACTGTTTTGGAAGGTGGTATCATCCAAACAGGTGCGATGTAGGTGAAGGAACTGGGAGAATGGGATGGAGTCCTTCCAGGACATGGGATGTGACAAGCTGTAGTGAAGGTAGCTATTGGAGTCAGTGGCTTTGTAGTGAATGTCAGTAGACAGTTTGTTCCCTGAAACAGAGACAGAGAGGTTAAAGAAAGGAAAGGAAGTGTTGGAAATGCATGATATGAAAGTTATAGAGAGGTGGAAATTGGAGGCAAAATGAACAAATTTTTCAAGTCCTGATGGGAGCAAGAAGCAGCACTGAAGCAGTTGTTGATGTCCCAAGGAAAGCATTGTGGGAGGGGCCCAGTGTAGGACTGGAACTCCTGGTATCACTCCCATGAAGAAGACCTTTCATCTTTCCCAACAGAACGTCTAAGGAGGTCACCACTAAGTGCAAGACAAGATCCCCTTTCTTCAGCGGCAGTTTCAAGGGAGTTGGGGGTGTGGGGCAATGGATGCATGACTTGCAGTGAGTGAAATGGTGTCCAGCTGGTGCTTGAATATGTGTCAAAATCTTCAAACCCAGAAGGTCCAGCCGTGGTCAAGGACTTCCCGTTTAAAAGTAATTCTCCCCCATGTTCTCCAGGACACTGTACTGATAATGGCAATTCCTCTCTTGGTATGAATCTTGGGCACCATCTGGAAATTTGTCCAAGTAGAAATTCTTAATGTGTTTTACTGGCAGAGAGTTGAAAGAATATTTGATAAGACTTTACAGATCTGTTCAATTTTATATTTACCTGATGTTGTATACCTACATCCTCTAGCAGGAATCTGGATTAAACCTATGTCTAGAAGTTTACACACCACGTTCCCCACCAACTCTGGGACTGGGCTGCCATACTCTAGCCCTGGGTGAATATTATTGTTTTTTTTCTCACCTGCACAGTTGCATTGTGGCCAATTCTTGCTACTGTACTGGCTTTTATGTTTCAAGACTGTGGTAGATAACCTCTAGTGCTTAGTGAGCTGGAGAAAAGGTTCCTAATCTGATTGGGTGAACTCCTCAAAGGAATCTTTACTGAAGCTAAATCAACCATGATTAAAATAAACATACTATACAACACAATGTGCCACTAGAAAAACACAAACATAAAACGTGCTCTTTAGGTAATTACTTGCTAATTTTGATGTTACCAAGAATGAAATACCAATACTGGGAAAAATCATATTGCAATGGTACATTGTGAATAGAAATAGGTTTCTCAGAAACATGAGCAATAAATGTCTTGAAGTGACAAAATAGAACCTAGTAAAACACTTCAGTTTTTTTTACAAAATGAATTTCATTTAAATTTTTTTCTATGATTTACAAATATTTTGGATCATGTTGGTTTCTAAAGTGGTTTACAAAGATATTCGGAGATAGTAGGAACTACAGATGCTGGAGAATCTGAGATAACAAGGTGTGGAGCTGGATGAACACAGCAGGCCAAGCAGCATCAGAGGAGCAGGAAGGCTGACGTTTCGGGCCTAGACCCTTCTTCCCGAAATGTCAGACTTCCTGCTCCTCTGATGCTGCTTGGCCTGCTG